GGCCTCGCGGACCTTGGCGGCGCGCGCTGCCTCCTGCTCATGCTGGCGGATGAGCGCATCGCGCAGCGCCTGCAGCTCCTTGGTCTTCTCCTCGTGCAGCTTGGCCTTGAGCTCCGAGATGTAGGCCGTGTGCCGCCGCTGCTCCTGCTCGCGCTCCAGCTTGGCTTCCTGCAGCCGCTCGCGCAGCTTGCCCACCTGCACGGGCGCCCGCGTCAGCGTCCCCGCCGGGCTCCCGCCCCGCGCCCGGCGCCCTCCCGCAGCCCCGTCTAGCCTTTCTCACTTCAGTGGTGTTTTATCGGTTTGCTTTTTCCCCCCTTAATGTTGGAGAAACAGGGGAGGGGGCTGCGGAGTCCCGTGTTGGAGCCCCTTCCATTCAGAGCCACGAGGAAGGGCCATCCGTGGCCCACAAACACCTGAGCAGACTGTAAGCCGGCCCGCAGCCCGCACCCGGCCACGCACTTCGCCCTTCTGGCCCTGCTCCCTTGTTTATAACCTAAGCAAAGCCGCCCCTGACCTCGCAGGTTGGCGCAGGGTCATGCACCGCTAAGGGACCCAGTGCTATCTGCACTGTGGACACAAAAAAGGCTGCACCGCTGGCTTGTGCCTGTAGTCCTCGTTCCTTGGCAGGCTGGAATCTGGTGGGTTACAGTTCAAGACCAGCCCAGACAGAAAACGTCTGTAAGATTCTTCAGAATAATCAGGAAATACTGGTCATGTGGTAGAGCACTGCTCAAGTGGTAGAGCACCAGCAGAGCAAGCAAAGCTGAGTGATCATGACTCTCTGGGTTCAAACCCTGGTACTGCGGGGCCAGCAGCAGCAGCAGGTACGGCTGAGGGAGGCTGGCTGCAAGGGACCTGGACCCCCAGTGCCTAGGGCTGGAGGCATCCGTGCTCAGCTCTCAGCCTTGTCTGTGCCCTTTACACCAGGCTGGGTCAGACAGCCCTGGCTGGCTCTGCCCTGAAGTGAGCTATGCCAAGGAAACGGCACAGTGGCGCTAGCACACTGGACACCATGGGGCTTTCTACTGTTTACTTCTGGGCAACCCTGAACTGGGCACTGACCAATAGTGTGCCCTGAGCTGAGAACATGGGCGTTCTGACACTTCTAGTCACTTGTCTGAGGTCCTGAAGCCAGGCAGGGTCCAGCCAAGCAAGGGCAGACACCAGGTCTACACAGTGTGCAAGCCCAGGCTCCGCCCTGTGACAGCCTGTGCCCTGTGCCCAGTCCTCAGCCCCGCATCGTCCCCACTGGCTCCAAAGCACCTACAAGGGTAAAAGAGCTCACAGCACAGAACCAGCCCTGTTCCCAACTGGCCCAGCCCTGCTGGGGGGTCACTCCACCTCATCTTGGACACACTAAGACTCTCGGAGCCTGAGATCACAGCCATCGCATGGCGGGCCGTGCGTGTACCCGCAGCCTCTGCCACGCTGCCTGTGTCCTCAGAATGGATGAGGCGCAGGGAATAGAGACACCCTGGACCAGGCTCTCCACACGCCCTGTGATGGACACAGTGGCCTCTCAGTGTGCCCATCCCCGCACCCCACCCTATCCCACCTTGCTCTTTTCCTGCTGGAACTCTATCTGAATGCTGGTCAGCTTGGCCCGCAGCTCCTCGTTGGCCATCTGCACCACATCCGTCTCCATCTCGGGCTTCTCGCCCTTGCTCCGGCTTTTCTTAGACATGCTTCCTCTGGGGTTGAGCCACTGAGGTCCTGAGGTTCACACCCGCCCTCCAGCAGGCTCAGCTGCCAGCTCTGCCGTGCTAAGCAGTGGCACAGGGCTCCGCTCCTCTTCTTTGTAACCCACCATCACTTGAGATTCTGGGAGAGGGAGGGAGCAAAAGAAGAGAAGGAGGGAGGGAGCTGTGTTAGCAGAAGGACTGACATCTCCCTGGAGGATGCTTCTTGCTTGAGCAAAGAATCCCCTGAGGTACTAACAGGCAGGGTCTTCTCACCCCGCAAGCCAGCCTGCACTTCCTCAGTAACCACACCAGGCCTGGCTCCACTCCCAGCTCTGCTCCATCCTGCCTCAACAGGCGAAGACAACACAGCTACAGCTATGTGACCCGCAGGCCATGGTCTGTGAACATCTATGAGTGGGGGGCCCAGGCCTGGTCTCATCCTAGACTTGAAGGACTTGGGGACAGGGAGTCTTCTTGCACATGCTCCGTCCACACCCCCAGCTACTGGGGCAGGGTCACAGGTCAGAGGACCACACTCTGAAATGGACTCGAGGCCTCTTAGGGTGAGTGATCTCTCCCCTGCCAGGTAGCTGCCACCAGGTTACAGATGAGGAACCGGAGATGCACACAGGTGAGAGATAACCATGGCACACAGCTAATAAGAAACACTCTGCCTGGCTGAGCGGTCCATCTCTGGTCCCAGTCTCCTTGCCACACAGCATAGTACTCTGTGTCATTTGTGCCACCTGCATTTGTCAGTTTGCCCTCCTCTGGGACGTCAGTTCCAAGTCCCTAAGTCCTGGGTTTGTACCGTTCTGTCCCATCTCCAGTACCTAGGACAGAGCCTGGCCTGTAGGTGGCGCTCCCGTACATGTTGAATGTTGACAAGAAAAGGTCATAAAGTGCCAGTCCTGGAACAGGGGCCAGGGATCCTCTCCTAAAATCCTTGGAACACCCTTGAAGGTAGTTGGAGATGAGCACTTGGAAGCACAGAGATGTCAAGTACAGCTGCCTAAGGCCACACAGCTAGAAGGTGGAAGAATGTCAGCCTTCGGGGCCTGGCAGAAGAGATAAGACTGAAAAAGAAGTCTGGGTTGGAGCCCTGGGAGCCCAGGATGCTGGGCAGAGGCAACGCAAGCAGCAGCCACAGCTCCTGTGCACCCAGAGAGCCTGGAAATTGGCCACTGGATACCGGAGCAAGAAAGCCCTAGGCTTTTCCATTTTTCTTTTTTGTATCATTACATGGGCCTGGACTAAGGAGAGTCTGGATGCTTACCCTGAGGGGGTTTTTTTGCTCAAAGCTGGTGCCCTACCACTTGATCCACAACTCCCCTTCCAGCTCTTTGGTAGTTAATTGGAGGTAAGGGTCTCACAGACTTTGTCCTGTCCAAGCTGGCTTCAGATCTCAGCCTCCTGAGACCTAGGATTACAGGCATGAGCCTCTGGTGCTCAGTGAATGTGCTTTTTACAAACGGAAAAAAATGATTAGATACTATCTGCCAGATGAAGCCCAGCCTCAAGAGCTAGCTGGCAGCCTGGGCCCACCCCTCCATTCTCCCTGCCACTCAGTCCTCCCAGACACCACCTGAGGCTACCAGCAGACCAAGGGTGCCCTGTCTACAGGGCACTGGCATCCTCTTGTGCATAAAATTCACCCTACAGAGGAAGGCTGCTGCCACTCATTCTTCCTTATCTCTGGAAATCGCACTGGTGGCATCTTAAACATGGCTAGGGAGGTGTTGATGGACTTTACTAATGGTGGTCATTCTTGGAACCAAACACATGCAATGTGAAGGGCCTGGTGACCTAGTGACTGTTGGTTTCCCTGAGGACGGTGCATCCCCAGGCTGGGGAGGCAGGGAATGCACCCACAGCTATCCATCTACCAGAGAATCGAAGGCATAGGCCGGCCTGCCGCTCCAAGTTTGGAGGGGCAGACAGGACTATGTGAAGAAGCATGACTTCCTTGACCTCCACAGAACACAGTCGGGTGTGTTCCACCAGCCAGGCATAGTAAAAGGTGAAAACACATTGAAGATTCCCAGCAAGGATCACATTTAGACTCAGCCACCCTAGTGATACTGAGATGATCAGATTGGACTTTAAAATAACTGTGACTAGCCAGGCACTGTTGGCTCACACCTGTTCTCCTAGCTACTCAGGAGGCCGAGATCTGAGGAACTGGTTCAAAGCCAGCTGGGGCTGAAAAGTTCCTGTGAGACTCTTAATTCAAACTCCTTAGAAAAATCCAGAAGTAGCATTGTGGCTCAGTGGCAGAGCGCTAGCCTGAACACAAAGGCTCAAAGACAGCACCCAGGCCCTGAGTTCAAGCCCCAGGAAAAGCAATAAAATATCTGTGATTGACATGCTAAGGGCTCCAGAAGAGGCAGGTAACATGAAAGAAGAACAAATGGCTGATGAGGGAAGAGCTGGATAAAGACCCCTGTGACAGGAATGAAAGTCTTCGATGGGCTCATCAGTAGACTGGACACAGCTGGAGAAAGAGCCGGTAAAACTAAAGACATCCAACAAAGCATTTCCAAGCCAGAATGCAATGGGAAAAGATGACTGAGAGAGAGGGAGAGGGAGGAGAGAGGAAGGGGGAAGGGAGAGGGAGAAAGGAAGGAGGGAAGGGAGAGGGAAGGGATGCAGAGGACAGACTAGTCCAAACTGCAGAACAGCAAAAGACATACAATGGGGACACCAGAAGGAGGTGAAAGGGCTGAGGAAATATTTGAAGCAAAGTCTAATGTTTCCCCCTTATCAGACACAAAACCATAGATCCATGAAACCATGAAAGAAAGCAGGAAAGAGCAATACTGAAATAGTTACAGTTAAAAGAGAGAGAGAGACTATCAATCTATAATTCTCTATCTTGTGAAATTATACTCCAAAAGTGAAAGACAGACACAGGGGCACACACTTATAATCCCAGCAGAACAGGAGGGTAGTGAACTTGAGAAAAAAGTGGAGACATAAACACTTCTTCACATCAACAAAAATGGAAAGACTTGGGCATGTAGGCTTGCCTTGAACAACAAAAAAAAGGTTAAAAAAACTTCATTGGAGAAGAACAAGATAGGTTAAAAAAAAAACAAACAGAACAACAAATGATAAAAATTTTAAATTTAGATCCAAAAAGCATTAACTAAAAGACAAACTCTTGCATTTCTCACTCTTCACTAATTTGCCAGATTATTCAAAGCAGTAAGTGCAGCAAGGTGTTTGTGATTTAATTTATGGATAGCTAAAATGAATAAGAGCAGTTTTATCCTGGCTAAGAGACCCAATACATTACACATGAACTAGTATACTGCTATTTGAAAGTGGACTTAGCTAGTTATAAATGTATTTTGTCCACCCTTGTATCACCCTAGGGTAAGGAAGTTTTTAAAGATGTACAAACTCCTCATAAAGAAAAAGTGGAAACATTAGGACTACAGAGGCAGGAAGCAGTCAAAGACAAAAACTATAACAAAGAACAAGTAGCAAATAGTATACAGCATCAGAGACAGTAATCTAAGCACATCAATAATCACTTTAAATGTCAGTGGTCTAAATGTATCCAAAAAAAAAAAAAACACCAGAATCTCAGAGCAGATCAAAAGCAAAAGCCCAAGATTCACTGTAATAAAGCACTGAGTTTCCAGACTTGTATGCACTAAAGCCAGACAACTCATGCACATGCACAGATAACTAGCAAGATGAAAGCACAAAGTAATTTCTAGCCACTGCTAACTAATCTGTCATTGATAAAGTCACTAAACCATAAGCAATCCGACAAATCCTTTCCTTCTGGGGTAAAGGAACTACATTTAAAAAGTATACTCAGAGCTGGGCACCAGTGGCTCACGCCTGTAATCATAGCTACTCAGGAGGCTGAGATCTGAGAATCACTGTTTAAAGCCATCCCAAGCAGGAAAGTCTGTGAAATTCTTATGTCCAATTAAGCATCAGAAAAGCTGGAAGTGGTGCTGTGGCTCAAGTGGTAGAATGCTACCCTTGACCAAGAGAAAGTCAGGGACAGCACAAGCCCTGAGTTCAGGCCCCAGAACCAAAAAAAAAAAAAAAAAAGAAATATTCTCAGTATGTAAAATTATGAAATACTGTAAAACACAGAATAGAATACAACAGAACACAGAAAAATCACAATCACGAATCTGAAGGAAAATCTCAGAGGCAGAGCCTGTTCTCCCGGGGATTGAAATTAGCTGGGCAGGAACTCTAGTCAGTTGGACTCTTGAGTATTTAGGAGCCCCCACTTCCAGCTCCTCCTCCCTCAAGGCCAGCCCCCCTCCTCTGCCATCAAGGGAACAGTGGCTCTGCTCCCAAGTTCTCTGTAAGGCTCACAGGACAGATTCTCTCCCCTAATTTTTTTGTCAGTCATGGAGCTTGAACTTCGGGCCTGGGTACTGTCCCTGAGCTCTTTTGCTCAAGGCTAGCACTCTACCACTTGATTGCAGCTCCACTTCATTTTCTGGAGGTAAATTGGAGATAATAGTCTCACAAACTTTCCTGCTTGGGTTGGCCTGGAACTACAATCCTGAGATCTCAGCCTCCTGAGTAGCTGGGATTACAGGTGTGCGCCACTGGTGTCCTCTGTAGACAATGCAAGATCGATGCAACAACTTGTATCTGTAGCCTCCAAATGTCCCTTATGAGAAGATCCTTAGCGCCGGGTCCCTGAACATTTCCTGTGCTGCCATCTGGCTCAAGACCTGCTCCTCTTTCTAGCTAGTGGCTAATGGGTCAGAAACCCTTTGCTTCTGAGACCCCTGGGCCTTGAGTTACTGCCACAAGCACCTGCTACCTGATTCCAGCCTGCTCCCAGCTGACACCTGACTTCAGGATAATGGCTCCATGGCTTCCAACCACAATCCTACCTATGTCGCTCACATAGCTGAGATCATAGCAGCATGCCACCACACTTAGATTATTAGTTGATATGGGTTTGGAGAATTCAAAAAAGCAATGCAGCTCTCCAGAACACACATCCAGGAAACGGGGCCAGGGTCTGCATTTTGCCCAACTGGACGCTGGAGAGCTGTGGGATGGGGCAAAAGCTCTGTCCATGGGCATCTGGGTCCTAGTCCCTCCTCCCTCCCCCCTGCCAGCTGCCTACAAAGCTCTAGCATTCGG